TGACTAACACCTGAGTAGATACTTAGTGCTTGGTGAACAGCGGCATTAGGTGAAAGAAAGTGTGGCCAATTATTTCTGTCTCGCCCGGGATTCGAACCCGGCAACCCGTTCTCGCAAATTTAATAAGTCAATATTGACTTATTAGTTGCGTGCATAGGTGACATACTAAACATAATAGTTTCCCTTGAAAAGCTTCATAGAAAACACCGACCTTACCTAACCTACTTAGTATGTTAAAATAAACATCTTATAGCTTCGTAATTACAATTGTTACTTAAGCTATTATAGGTATAGGTTAGGTAATAATTGTAATTACGAAGCAATAAGATGCTTATCTTAACATACTAAGTAGGTTAGGTAAGGTCGGTGTTTTCTATGAAGCTTTTCAAGGGAAACTATTATGTTAAGTATGTCACCTATGCACATATTTAATAAGTCAATATTGACTTATTAAATTTGCGAGAACGGGTTGAACCCGGAATTCTCGATTGTACTTCGAGAACGAACCCGACTGTACTACTGAGACCCGTAAATTAGTTTTTTGGGAAGGGCTAATTTGGAAACACGTAAGGTATGAGGAATTGACTTCTAGCAAGCATTATGGAGGAAAATTGTTTAACAGGATTCACTTATAGATTGGACAGGTTCTTGGGTGAGAAGGATTGGACAGGTACATCTGTAAAAGAGGGGGAAGGGGAATTGCACAGGTACATGGGGTGAGAAGATGTGGAATTAAAAGCATCCGGCTAGTGTGGATCAATAGACCTTCAGTGGCGCTCTCAAAATCTTGCGTTCTAATGTAACTGTTGAACTCGTTAGCGTACCCAGTGTCTCGTGGTTGAACGCTGACTGTAATGATAGTGAGTCTATAGCGAGGAAAATGACTTTTCCAATGTCACTGGCAGCAGAGCGGTGACGTGTCAGGTCAGCAGCCTTTCCAACCAAGCGGTACAGCAGAGCTCGCTGTAATCCTCAGTACTGGTAGTAACTATTTGGTCAAATGTACCAATATGTTGTGATGGACTACCAGTAAACCACTTGTTGTACTGTTATTGTTATTGAGTCCGGAAATTATAATGCTAAAACCAAACTTAAATATTCCTTGGCCAAGTATTGCACATATATATACAATATTAAACGTGTATTAGGTCTAATACCTAAGTTAGTTTAGGCCTTATATTTAAGTTGTGATGAATAGAGTTTCGGGTTTGTCTAAAGTTACTACTACAAAAAGTTAACTTTCTGGCGGTCCATCACTACATATTGGTACTCTTGACCAAATAGTTACTTTAGGCCCTTTCAATTCACGAGGATTGGCTGCCCCTTCAAACAACGTTTGTTATTCAACTAGGGAGAATAGCTTCATTTGCTTACAGTTTCCAGTAACTGAAGTAAAATTCATTATTATCATCATAATTCACCCGTTTCCCATTTACCCTTGGTGTGGGGATGAAAATTTAAGATATATGTTTACAATTAAAAAGGAGAGGGACATATTTAGAAGACTCAGAATAGATACAAGACGATTTAGAAGTACAGATAATGTGTAATGATACAGGATTTATGGTTCTGAGCCAAGGTAATAGAGATACCTTTAAAAGATATCGCGAGGACATTGTTGAAATTGCTAAATCTAAACAAATGAAAGATTTGTCTTGACTGATATAATTTTAAACCAATACAATTTTAAACCAATAAATATGTATATATTTGAAATAAGCCAATAAGCTATAAAGGATTCATATCTATAAGTGATATCTTGTCCTTATTAGAAAGAGATTAGGAAAGCTTAATTTATATACTCCAGAAAGGTGAAGAATAAAGAGTGATATAACTGAAGTATACAAATAGATAAAAGAATATAAAAGAGGAAAATGAATAAGTTAAGCATATAAAACAAAAATACAACACGAATCATTGTATATAAATTGGATAAGTTTAGATATAGAAAGACCTTGTGTATATAATAATTTTGAAATTAGTTTGCTGATTTATATAATATTCAGTCGAGCAACATCGTAGACGGGGGATTTCAGGATTGTTACAAGTATAGGTTAGACATACTTAAGTGAGTGTGCTTGGTTCGAAGAGCACCATAGCCTCCACAGTAGTAATTAAGCCAGAGCATTATACGACAATGAATCCCCTCTAAGCTAATTTATTCTACCAAGACATAAGCCTCATCACTTTTAGTGCTCTTTTCACGCTCATTTCCGACTGAATAATATAAATTCTTGTAAAATCGAGTCCCAGTGCACACCCACAGCCTTCACTGACGGCTGACGCTCAGCGCTAGCGTTCACGACATCCAGCGGTAAACTGAGACGTCATCCTCATAGCTGAATAGTAAAATCCATTATTTCCGGAACAGAGCTTCACGGGATAATTGTGAACACGATGACTCTTCAAGCAGCAAAGGTCGTATGACTTTACCATATATATGTGCTGTCAGTGTTGCTCCCAGCACACAAACATCGTCCTGGTCGCTCCAGCCCCTTCACCATGGTAAGTTCTCACTGTTTAGTAAAACATTTTGCAAACAAACTTGACAGGAACATGTAGTCTCTATACATAACCAGATCATTAGTAGAGATATCCTTACAAACAACGCCGATAGCGACAATAGAAGCCAGGACATATGCGAGGCCTTATACATCAAATGAATTAAGCTATCTGTCAACAGCCAGCTAACACCAAATCACCTCTGTCACCTTTGAGATCGTGACGAAACATACTGCACCAATCATCATGGAAACATAGAAGATAAGCTTTCATAAGCTGCAATGGGCTTATTGACCCGTACGTCAGGTGCTTCACCTTTACCTCATCCCTGGCTATATATCCTGCAGTAGAAAAAACTTGCAATTCACGAGCAAAGATCACATTCACTCCCAAAAATTTACCACTTGGTGGCATAATATTCATCAATTAATCACCTTGATTGATGAAGTAGACTGAGCTGAATGATGACATCTTTTATATTGTTCTCAATTGCATAATTTATAGCTTCTTTCATGGCATATAACTCTGCAATTTTGAGCACCCACTATTCATGCTCATAAGCTTCATGGTTGTTAGTGTAGACAGCTGCCCCAGCAGAATCTCTTTCTTGATCAACTGATCCATCTGGGAAGCTATAAGTGGTTGATGGTCTTGAGATGCTTTCCATTTGTTGTTCTATGATTGCTTTGAGCCTCTGAGAGTCTCGTGCTGATTTTTTAACTGGTAATCCCTCAATGATTATCTTTAGACTCGATTCTTCCCACGCAGAAGGCTGCCGAAAGTGTTAATATGGGTTATCTTCTCCTTTGTTCCTAATGGTGCGTTTCATGTCCACTTTCTCTAGAATCTTCACCGGATTATCCATGCATGCACTTGTTCTATATTGAAGGTTTAAGAACACCAATTCTTGATTGATTGATGTCGACAACAACAACTTTGCAAATCCCATTCACTCTTAAAAAACACTTGCATGTCCGTGCTTCCTCTTGGGTGGCTTAATCTTCAAAAATTAATAATAATCTTGCATCCGAACAAATCCACAAGGGCCTTGACGAGGATTCGAACCTGCGTCCGAGAGCTTCCCAGACGCTGACTTAATCGACTGAGCTACGACACGGTGAAAGAATTGAAACCAGAAATGGTTGCAATTCTTTTACCATGTCGTAGCTCAATCGATTAAGGCAGCGTCTGGGATGCTCCCGGAGGCAGGTTCGAATCCTCGTCACGGCCCTTGTGGATTTGTTCATATGATACATCACACTATTGTGATTTCTGTGTGTCATCTTGCATCCATTTAAACTTTGCCCTTGATACCGTGAAGTACAATTAAAGAAATGCATCTCTTGGTGAAATTCCAAATAAAATTGTAAAATATACTTTGGAGATATAACTTTTCAGCTTCCATCTTAAATGAAGAAAAAAATAAGAAAAATCCCACTAGAATAATTGATTTTGTTGACCAGACCACACACTAGAAGTTGAAGGGACGACGACGTTTCGGTCCGTCCTGGACCATTCTCAAGTCGATTCGACTTGAGAATGGTCCAGGAAGGACCGAAACGTCGTCGTCCCTTCAACTTCTAGTGTGTAGTCTGGTCAACATACTTCAGCCACGTTATTGTGACTCATCGCCTGCATAATTGATTTTTCCCCATATGAAAGGTGTATTCGGCGGTGCCCAGGACATTGTATTTCTCACTCACTATTCATTTCCAACCACTTCTCTCCCCCAATCCTCTCTTTCCCCCTCTCCACCTCTCTCCTCCTTCCCGCTCTTATCTACCCCCTCCCTGTTCTTCTCCCATATAATCCCCCATTTTCCTCCTCACCATCCTCACTCTCCCCTTAACCCTTCTCTCCCAACTCAATAAAATCAAGTATCAGTGTGTCTTTAAAATTGATTAAATATTAAAACACTAAATAATTACCCATTGGCTTTGAATCTGAAGGAAGGATATGGGTCGGTCTTCGGAAGAAGGGGATGGTAGGAGGAGAGGGAAGGGACGGTTGAAGAAGAAGGGAGGGGGGGGGTGTTAAACTTTATATGTTTTGTGGTGTTACAGCCAAAGAATGAACAGCAGAACATTCTGTTAATTATCCTAATATCAGCGAATAATGTTGTATATTACTAAAATATAAATCAATGTTTGTTTAAATTTTAGCTTTCAAAATATTTACCCAGGTATAGCCAATGACCAGTGCCAAAAATTGTCAAAGGGCCAATAGGTCTCTGTTTCACGCTGTTCCCTCTTGAATTCTGGCGACCCTGACTAGCCCATATATATGTCCCATACCCCAGACTATTCACCATGCAAAATAAGGTGAGGCTAGGCCCTAGCAAGCAAACAATCTCTCTTTACCATGACAAAATTAAAATTCCCCGGTTGTGTTTCCATTCCAGAGATTTACCTTCATCTTTGCCCTGGTGATGCTGGTGGTCATCTCCTGCCACGCCGACCCCGGAGGCTCTCGTGGAGGTGGAGGAGTTTCCAGAGGACATGGCGGTGGAGGAAGCTATGGAGGAGGACGACGATCCAGAGGTGGAGGACATGGAGGCGGTGGTGGCTACGGGGGTGGAAGGCGGTCTTCAGGTGGCAGAAAGCGTGGAGGTGGCAGAAAGCGTGGAGGAGGCGGGAGGTCGAGAGGAGGTTTAGGAGGTCTCTTCAGTTCTTTAGGAGGCGGAGGGCGCCGAAGCAGGGGAGGAAGTGGATATGGCAAGTAATATGAAGAATTAATCTTATCCTAGTGATTTTTTTTTTTTTTTTTGCTGCAACACTCCCATACACGTGGACTGGTTGGTACAGCAATAGCCTCGATTGGTGAAAAGTCAGCGTTTGATCCCTGATGGTACGAGTGATTGGGAACCGTTCCTGTCTCTCTGCCCTTTTATACCAGTTGCTTTTCCACATATTCCATATATGTGTTATATAATATGTAGAGATGATTATATAGCATCACCTCTAAATACATTATATATATATATATATATATATATATATATATATATATATATATATATATATATATATATATATATATATATATATATATATATATATATATATATATATATATATATATATAATATATATATATATATATATATATATATATATATATATATATATATATATATATATATATATATATATATATATATATATATATAAGTATACATACATATATATATATATATATATATATATATATATATATATATATATATATATATATATATATATATATATATATGTCGTACCTAGTAGCCAGAACTCACTTTTTGGCCTACTATGCAAGGCCCGATTTGCCTAATAAGCCAAGTTTTCCTGAATTAATATATTTTTTCTAATTTTGTTCTTATGAAATGATAAAGCTACCCATTTCATTATGTATGAGGTCAATTTTTTTATTGGAGTTAAAATTAACGTAGGTATATGACCGAACCTAACCAACCCTACCTAACCTAACCTAACCTATCTTTATAGGTTAGGTTTGGTTAGGTAGCCGAAAAAGTTAGGTTAGGTTAGGTTAGGTAGGTTAGGTAGTCGAAAAACAATTAATTCATGAAAACTTGGCTTATTAGGCAAATCGAGCCTTGCATAGTAGGCTGAGAAGTGCGTTCTGGCTACTAGGTACGACATATATATATATATATATATATATATATATATATATATATATATATATATATATATATGTCGTACCTAGTAGCCAGAAATCACTTCTCAGCCTACTATGCAAGGCCCGATTTGCCTAATAAGCCAAGTTTTCATGAATTAATGTTTTTTTTCGTCTACCTAACCTACCTAACCTAACCTAACCTAGCTTTTTTTGGCTACCTAACCTAACCTTACCTATAAAGATAGGTTAGGTTAGGTTAGGTAGGGTTGGTTAGGTTCGGTCATATATCTACGTTAATTTTAACTCCAATAAAAAAAATTGACCTCATACATAGTGAAAAGGGCAGCTTTATCATTTCATAAGAAAAATATTATAGAAAATATATTAATTCAGGAAAACTTGGCTTATTAGGCAAATCGGGCCTTGCATAGTAGGCTGAGAAGTGAGTTCTGGCTACTAGGTACGACATATATATATACATATATATATATATATATATATATATATATATATATATATATATATATATATATATATATATATATATATATATATATGTTGTACCTAGCAGCCAGAACGTCGTAATCGGCCTACTATGCAAGGCCCGATTTCCATAATAAGCCAAGTTTTCCTGAATTAATATATTTTCTCAAATGTTTTTCTTATGAAATGATGAAGTTACCCATTTCATTATGTATGAGGGCATTTTTTTTTATTGGAGTTAAAATTAACGTAGATATATGACTGAACCTAACCAACCCTACCTAACCTAACCTAACCTATCTTTATAGGTTAGGTTAGGTTAGGTAGCCGAAAAAAGGTAGGTTAGGTTAGGTTAGGTAGGTTAGGTACTCGAAAAAACATTAATTCATAAAAACATAGGTACGACATATATATATATATATATATATATATATATATATATATATATATATATATATATATATATATATATATATATATATATATATATATATTATATATATATATATATATATATATATATATATATATATATATATATATATATATATATATATATATATATATATATATATATATATATATATATATATTTATATATATATATATATATATATATATATATATATATATATATATATATATATATATATATATATATATATATATATATAAATATTTATATATGTATTAGCAAAATATTACTGATTATCTTTCTGTTTTCAAGTGTAATATATTTCAGAACAAAATTGGATATATTGCAGTCAAAATAAAACAAAGCTAAAATTTATGTCATGTTAATGTCCTCATAACCGAAATATTCATAAAATCCGGCAAGTTTACAACTAAATGTCAATATTGAAAATTGGCCGGCACACCCATGTATAAGTTGGCTTCACATACAGGCATTCAATAATGAAACAGTGAAATGATTGTTCGATTTTGATTCATGCACATTTAAAATAAAATTTCTCAAGTAAAAAGCAACTCTTCAGAACACGTTAGTAAAATAATGGAGCCTCCATTCTTTGCATAGTTTGTCATGGTGTTACTCCTGATGCAATGATGACTTGTCAACAGATGGGTGAGTGGTCAGGCAACTGAGTGTGGAAACGGCGTGTTATGTTGACGCCTGTATCTTTCCCTGGCACAATATATCGCAAATATTCATATATGGCGCTAGGAGGAAGTTTTCTGCTACGTGGAGGTTTCAGGAGGTCGAGAAGAATTATAAGAGGTCTCTTCAGTTCTGTAGGTGAGGGTGCCGAAGGAGAGGGAGGTGGATATGACAAGTAATATAAAGAATTAATCTTATGCTAGTGTTCGTTTCACCCATCAAGTGAAGTGATTCGATGAAATATCTATGCCCAAGTTGACCACCAAGCTCTGTAGGATCTGTGATTAATAGTCTCACGACTAGCAAGATTTTTGTACAGTCGTGTAGTTCAGAGGTTAAGGTACCAGGTACGCCAAGGTTCATAGTACTCCTTGCTGTCTGAGTTCGAATCCCTCTAGGGAGTGGAGTTTTCAGTTAAATATTGAAATGCCTTTACATTCGATTTGATAATGGTTCATTATCACAACAGTAATTACAATCGACTTCATAATAGTCCAGGACGGATCAAAAGTGTCATCG